CTCTACAAAGGTAAGTTACGAAAAAGGAAAAACATCGGTTCTTCCTAGGGCATCAACTGGCAACGTAGTTCAAGATTATGAGGTTCTTGCTTTCGAGTAGATTTTTTAAAATTCATTTTATTTATTGATTGATTGATCTCATTTCCCTTGCTGTAAAGTGTTAATTCCAGAGATATCAAGCTCTATATAGAAATATACTATTTTAAAAACGCTGTTTCCTATTTTTTTGCGGATGGAATTGCATTTACAATTCCTTTCATTTTATTTATCTCAAAACAGTTAAAAGACTGATTAACGTTCAAAATTCAACGAAATCTACCTGGCCATTTCAAATTTTCTCTGCATCGTAGGTTCATATATATTTTTCTTAACGTATCTCTTCAGAAGCTGATCGTCTTAATTTTATTATGGTATGTAATTTTATATTCTTTCATGGAATTTTAAAATTCTAATAGACAAAAATCTATCTGTTATGAGGATTTAAAATTTTCAAAAAGTTAAGGAACCAACTCCTCACCCTCTTTTAAAATTAGAATGATAAAAAATATTAATTAAGAGGCTTTCAGAAACTTTTTTTAATCAGCCGCGTTTTCATAAGCTTTCCTTTAACATGTTTAAGGTGTTTGTCACTATGATCAGAACTTGCTCAGACGATGCTCAGCACATGTGAAAGAAAAATAAATGTATGAAATGTGTGAAAATGTGTGTGTGAAATTGTGAATGTGTGAAAATTTCGCTAGTATTTGGTAACTGATATTTGCAAATATAACCAAACGAAACACCAGTTTCCGAAAACAAACGGAAACCATTATTTTTTAAATGATGTTTTTAAATGATATCATATTTAGTTGTTATTGTTGTGATTTATCTTACTTGTGTGACGGAGACATCAAAACAAGCCTATGAAATTCATCGTGGCAAGGACAGCAAGATTGCGTCTATCATTGGCAAGGGCCTTGAGCACCATACAGGTGACAGTACGAATTTGTTGGGTTCCGCCCCCAAATTTGATGGAGAGCACCCCAGGGGAGATAGGTCTCCTTCCCCTACCACCAATCTCTCTGGAGGGATCACCGCATATTTAGAGTGCCCTCATGCCGCACAGACTCTATACATTTAAAAATATCCATGTCTTTTCGGGATTTAAATCTGCCCGGTTGAGCGGCTAGGGTTTCTAGTAGATAATTTTAAAGATTTGTATTAAAATTAGGTAGTCGAGGGTTACTTATAAGCTATGATAGGGTTAACAAACAAAGTTTGGGCTTTCTTGCTCCGCGAACTTAATCGCACTACAAGTCTCCTCACTCCTCAGAACCAGGCGCGAAGTTTCAACCTCCGCTCTGGCCCCTCAGAAAGAGAGAGGCACACCGCTCGGGATAAGTCTCCCAGACCAGCACTGGTCGTTAATTTGCTACCTACCAGTTGCTCGGGCTGCCCGTCGCAGCTGAACATTACCCAGCGTACCCGGGGACGCTACCCCCGGGCTACTAGTACCAAGCCGCGCTAGGACGTGCCAGACCACCGGGCTGGCATCGCAGAATTCTCTACGTCGACCCCGTAATTTATTGATTCACTGTGATTACGGCAAAGCACACTAGGGCTATTTGTCTAAGGGAAGGAATGCCTTCTTGGAGGACTTTCTAAGGAAAACTGGCTCCTATATGCGTTACACTTGGGGAAAACCACGAAAACGCCCATGCAGCCAATCCGTTCGCCTGGAATTGAACCCAGGTAGGAACTACCAGGTTTCAGTAACTTTACCGCTCAGCCACTGGTATGCCTTCTTCTTTAAGTACATTAAATACGTTACGTTACGGCAATAGTTGTAACGTACTTACTTTTAAGTAGTTAAAGTAAAAGTAAGTACGTTACAACTGTTTCCATCTCTAAGCAGAAATGGTTTGACGAATAACAGACGCCTGAACAATGAGACGTATTAATCGAATTGCATTGTCAAAAGTCGACATGTTCTATTCATGTGCCGAGGAGCCACGAGTAAATAAACAGGTACGAGAGACTACCGCTGAGGAAATTGCTCCTCGTGGTGATGAGTCTGAACCAGAGGAAAGCAGACTAATAATAGATTATTCTCTGCTAAAACTTCTGAGAGGCCAGAAGACTCAGTTAAAAAAAATGCTAAAAGTTCAGAAAGCATATCTGCTACTTTTCTGGATATGCTTTAAGGCCCGTTTCCACTGCTGCGTATGCGTTGCGTATGCGTTTCTCCAATCAGCGAGCGAATTCACTTTGATTGACATCTGCAATCCGGTCGGTGTGCGGTGACGGATGACATACGGATGGAGTTCAACAATGTTCAACTTCTATCCGTATGTCTGCGATTGCGTTGGGGTCACGTGGTGAAAAAGGAGCAATCAGGTGCAGTGACTAAAAATTAATGGCGGCAGAAGTAGCGATGAACGCTCGCTAATAGGGAAAAAAATGTTTTACTAAAAAATACTTATTTCTGAATTAAAAACATTATAGCGAGAAATCTGCGTGCTGAAATGACAGCAATCAGCTGAATTTAGTTTAAAATGATAAGAAAAAACAAGATAACTGGCAAACTACAGTACTTGTTCGTTCAAGAAAAAAAATCAGCGGCAAAAATTATCATTTCAAGTCCATGAAATAGCAAAAAAATTTGTTCTGATAATCATTTTTTTTAGTTCTGCATACTCATTTAGCTTTAATGAAAATGAATGTCTGACTATATCAAACTGCTATAGCAAATTAGATATGATTAAAAGATTTGCTATTTTTTTCTTTTGAAACAGGTAAAAACTAAAAACGTTAATTATAAATTAAATTTGATAGCCTTTTAAATACTCCAGTTCAATGAAGAGTATGCTAAATTTGTATTTCCATTTATAAATATATCTTTTTGGATAACATATATTTGTAAGCACATGAAATATATTTTTAGCAGCCTGTTTAACTTCAATCGGAACGCCACTTTAAAAGATAATGATTTTTCCAAAAAATGTACTAGAAGTTGAAAAACAAACTCTGGTGAATTTTTCAGACAATAGCAAAGTGAAATAGGACCAAAAAACTTAAGTTTTTTTTAAAAATTGATTTACTTGATGATGTATATAACCCAAAATATGCATGCGACTTACGTGTAATCCTAGCTTAGTGGTAAAGCTGATGGTAACGACGTCCATTTTTTGGAGTCGTGAGTTCGAATCCCATACGCTTTTTTGCACCATGTCTGCAACTTTTCTTACCTTTTTATTCCAATTTGATCTATATTCGTGTTTTATAATTTATTTCTATTATTATATGCATTAAAATATATTGTTTTATTTATGCTCTTATTTATTTAAAATTTTTCCCGCAAAAAAGTTTGAAAATTATATAATACTAATTTAAAGCATATCCTGTACATATATATTTGAATTTAACAAACATTCTCTATTCGTAAAAAAGCAAATTTAAAGTTAATTAAATTTAAATGAAATTTAATGCAAACAAAGAAATGATTAATTATTGCTGTGCAAGTATCAAAATCCATGAATAAATAATATAAATTCCAAAAATGTATTAATCCTTAAAAAATTTATAAAAAAAAAATGCATAAGTGAATAATGGGTAGATAGATTATTAATCCTAAAAAAAAAAAAATTATAAAAATGCATAAGTGAATAATAGGATAGATTATTAATCCTAAAAAAAAAAAAATTATAAAAAATGCGTAAGTGAATAATAGTATAGCTTATTAATCCTAAAAAATTTATAAAATGCAAAATGAATAATAGGATAGATTTAATCCTAAAAAAACTTATAAAAATGCATAAGTGAATAATAGGATAAATACATTTTTGGAATTATATATTTATTCATGGATTTTTTTGATACTTGCACTTGATTTACATATGCTCTCAGAATTAAAAATGATATTGTATATTAGTTCGCAGCAATAATTAATCCTTTTATTTGTTTGCATTAAATTTCATTTAAATTTAATTAACTTTTAATTTTTACGAATAGAAAAATGTTTGTTAAATTCAAATTCCATTCCTTGCAGCAATGGCGCAAGAGAATTATTTAAATTTAATTTATTTTGAAACCCTGCAGATTATATATATATATATATTTTCGTTTCACTTTTATGTGAATGTATATATACATGTGCTCAGGCTTTGGGATGTTTACGACTCTAAACTTTCATTCCAATTAACATGAGACAGTATTAATGCCCTAAACATTTTTTTAACAAAAAATTACTATAATAATTGCTTTTAAATTCAGCCCTCTCCTGCAGAAGCACAGGAATTAATTAATTAAATATTTCCATTTTCTTTACCTAATGTGTGTATATATAAAGAGAAAAATCTTATTTTTATAACTTCTTGTATAAAAAGAGATATGAATTAAAAAAAATGTTTAAATTAAAAATAATATTTTTATGGATTATGTATAAAAAATAACTGCCCATAGTGCATTTTAAAAAAACAAACGAGATTTCTAATAAATTATCCAGCTATGACCCTGAAGTCAGCGCGGTATACAAGCATAGCAAATTTTTGCTTTAAATATTGTGAACCTTTCCTTACAGTTGCTCTGTACTTTTAAAGTACCAACTATTTTTTAATCCCTTTAAAAAACTTTTTTATTTTATTGTTTATTTATTTGTTTACTTTTCACTAACAGTACATTTTTAGTTTTAATAATATATATATTATTTTCATAATATTTAAGGCTTCTAGAAACACAATTTTTTTTTTTTTTTTTAAAATTATTTCAGCTTCTATGGAATTCGTGATGTTCATAATATGCATTTATAACCTTACTTATCTAAAAATTCCATATCAAATCCAAAACGAACAATACTCGCTTAAGCGGGAAAAATTCAGATGTTCAGCGTCGTAACTCGCGAACTGCTTGCGCCAAAATATTACAGTGACACCTAGCGGCGGAAAATGAAAATATTTTACGCATACGCAGCAGTGGAAACGCTTGTACGGATGCCGTAGGCGTGTCTTCAATTGACGCAACGCGTTCGTACGCAGTAGTGGAAACGAGCCTTTACGTTTACAATGAGATAAAGCAATCTTTTCCGAATTTTCAATTTTTGATGTGATCAAAATTATCACTAGTAGACTTGATGAAATATGGGAAGACCCTGCTTCTATTCAAAAGATGTTTGTATCTATTAATATACTTGAAGAAATCTTTAGTGGCGGAACTTCGGGAGTTTAATCTAAAATATTTCTTTCCTTACTATGGTTACTTCAACTGTTCTGAAGTTGTCAGTGCTTGGTTGTTTTTTGTATGCATTCGGTAATTATCGTTAGTATACTTGTTCGCACATATCTGGTAATTATCTTTAGTGTATATGATTTGCTCGCACGTATCTGGTAATTTAGTAATTGATGTATATTTGGTACCTAAATTTTCTGTTTTGCATTTGAATCCTTTTATGATCTTCTGTTGTATTAAATTTTGTTATGATACCCTTAAGACCCGCACTGCCTTTATTGGTTGAACTTTATTTTTGTTTACATGCTCACCAGTTGGACAGCTTACATGTTTCGTTCGCAAGAGAAGTGCTATGTGTTCGCGGTAATTTTATGCTTAGAACTTTTGCCACTTTAGTGACTATTCTTCAGCATTTAGAAGCACTTCTGTTACTTCGCAGTAAATTCTATTTACTCGATGGAAGTAAGCTGACACAGACCAGTTACTCCGGTGTTTGCACCATTCGAAGAAGCAGTAAGCTGTATTCATGATCGAAGTGTCTACACTTCCGACATAAGACTAGCTAATCGACAGTTTTCAAAATCTGCGCTTAAGTATTCAAGGCTCTTTTATTATTCGTGATATAAAACTACATGAATTTTGTGAAGAGAATTATTTGTTTTCATTTCTGATCAAACTATCTGATAAATAACTTTTATTTTTTATTTCATTGATTTCATTAATTATAAGTTTTAAATAAAAGCTTTATTATTATTATTTTGCTTTTCTTTCCCTCGATATTTTTCCTTGGGGATAAAGATTTAACTCATGCAAAACATATTTGTCTTTACTTCCCCCCCTCCTAACCTAATGTTGTGATTGAATGTGATTTTATTGCTTTGAAGAAATGAACCGAAATCGCAGTGCTTGATAAAAGCATGTTAATTTTGATACATATTAAAAGCATCCCTTTTTATGTATACCTATGTGAGTATGTGCTTTAAATCATTTCTTCATGATTCATATTTTTTTAATCCACTATTTGCAATATGATTATTGGAAACATGGAATCATCAAGAGTTGAAGAAATGACCATTGACGAAGAATGTGTAAGTAGTGTACATATTTTGATAAAAATATTTACGTATGACTTTTTTAAAATTCTATGATAAGTTTATTATTAATTAATTAATGTATAGGTTCATTCATATTTGTAGATTCGCACTTCCAACGACGAAGATAAAAAATTCGTGAGTCAGGCTGTTGCGTTTGTTATCGGACATGGCCGTAACGGTTTTGTACCGTTGTGTGCTAGTGTTGCTACATTGCTAAAAGAGCAAGCAAGGTAAACTTAAATAAAAGTTTTTTTAAAGTTTTCCTATAATATCATTGTTTAGATGTTAGCACTTCTAACGTAGTTTTAAGTAATTGTAAAGTGTCATGTCGTTTCTATTAAATGATTTGCTGTATTTTTCACGTCACTGAAGATCTCACAAGAATAAGTAACCTCAGGACACACTATCAAAGAATATTTCTCTGTAGCTATGATTTATTTCTTTCATTTCTTACTGGGGACTCATGTAGTAAGATCTTTCTTTCAAATACTTTTACATTATAATGCACAAACATTTAGGCTAGATATTGATTTCAGGCAATTGTTCTTATGCAGTTATAAAATAAACAAAAATACCTAATCCATGCATCTTCAGTGATTGATATTTGGCATAATTTTTATGTCGCATCTGTGAACTAAATTGTCAGATTTGACTGATTGAAATTGTGATTATTTTTTTAGAACAATGTGTGAGTTACAACGTGAAAGTTCAAAAGTAAAGTGAGTATACAAAAAAGATTTGTAAAATCCGGTTGATCTTTACATTATGGTAACTTAGCGTTTTTTTGGCGAAATTTGGCGACCAACTCTCTTACAGCAACCCTCTATTTTTTTTTCCCGTCGCCATTTTGTCTTCACGAAGTAAAGACATGTTTCTTTTCTTTTTATCTACTGAACACTTCTTCCAACGATCTACTAGCCAAATTACACTTATGCTAGAAATTTTATCTAACAAAACTGCTTAATCATGACAAATATTCACTGCAAAATTCGGAAAAAGTACACAATACCATACTCCTTACGCGTTTTTCAAAATAACACATACACATAAACCATGTACAACACGCCGACTTATTTTTACTTAAAAAAAATCCCAGAATTGCACAAAAAAATGGCATTGCGCACACTCTTCACTATATCCATGTTACACGGCTTTTTTTTCTCATAAATTAGAAAAAATTTTCACGAAAATACATGACAATTTTCTCAATCTTTAAACCGGTAAAAAGAACATATATGAAATTACCTGATCGCAAAAAAGTATTTTACCCTTTCCAAATATGAACATTTCCACATAAAATAAATAAAATATCCAAAAACTTTTTTACCTCTAAAATCATCTATTACATTATACACGTCACCAACAAAATTCATACCGCAAGCATTACAAATACTTAGTATCAAAAAAAATATTTAAATTATTTCCATGCACGTTTACTTCAACTTAAAACGTATACCAAATTCCTACAAACATAAAATTCACAAAATAACTATCATTTAATTAAAATATCACTAAAAACCATGTACAACGCTGACTTACTTTTACTTCTTAAAAAAACATCCCAGAATTGCACAAAAAATGGCATTGCGCACACTCTTCAAACTATATCCATGTACACTGCTTTTTTCTCATAAATTAGAAAAATTTCACGAAAATACATGACAATTTTCTCAATCTTTAAACTCGGTAAAAAGAACATATATGAAATTACCAGATTGCAAAAAAGTATTTACCCTTTCCAAATATGAACATTTCCACATATAAAATAAATAAAATATCCAAAAACTTTTACCTCTAAATCATCTATTACATTATACACGTCGAAAACAAATTCATACCGCAAGCATTACAAATACTTAGTATCAAAAATATTTAAATTATTTCCATGCACGTTTACTTCAACTTAAACGCATACCAAATTCCTACAAACATAAAATTCACAAAATAGCTATCATTTAATTAAAATATAATTAAATTCAAAAACACTACTTAAATATAAATGAGCACATACATTAAATTAATACATACATAAATACCCATTTCGAATTCACTTTAGTTTACGCCATGGGATCCAAAATTCACGAACACTGTTTCACACAACACAGAATAAAGCCAAATACAAAAAATTTCCATTTTTTCCCGATTTCTCCCCTTTTCCGATTAAAGAACCGTAATTCGTCAATTAATATCACATGACATATCCCATGATCTCTCATTTCCCTCACACAAAATAATGCGTATTCGGAACTGAGTACTGCTCACATTATTACCAAAGTCCCAGGTAGTAACCTTTATCGCCTCCACAATGTCGCCAAACTACCAGTTACCATATTGTAAAGATCAACCTAAAATCCTAGTATAAGGTGCAGCCTTGGCGCGATTTTGAAAATTATCGCCAACACCAAAGAACGTCTATATATATACTATACACTATATGCTATGTGTGTATACTATGTATAATAACTATATATATTCTTTGAATGACCTGTTTACTACTCATCGTATATGTCGCATTTTTACTGCTCATCATAAAGTAGCCAAATCCCATGCACCAGATACTAGGATTAAACGAAAAGATTTATTGACCAAATAGAAATATGCTAATAATAATAATTTTAGGTGGTTAATCTTTGAATTATGGTAACTTGGTGATTTTTTGGGAAAATTTGGCGACCAACCCTGCTACAGCAACCTGCTAATTTTGTTTTGCATGCCATTTTGTTTTCACGAAGTAAAGGCATTTTTTTTTTAACTCAACATTTTTTTCCAACAATCTGCTAGCCGAATTACACTTATGCTAGATCTTTTATGGAACAAATGTGCTTAATCATGACGAAGATTAGGTGCGGAGTTGGGAGAAAGTGCAGAATCGCCCTCTGCTCCCGCGTTTTTAAGAATTGCAAATACATGGTATCCATGTACACGTAGACCAATTTTCACTTAAAAAAACATCCCAGAATTGCACAAAAAATGGCATTGCGCACACTCTTGACTTTATCCATGTACACTGCTAAAGTCCTAGCTAGTAACCTTTATCGCCTTACCAAAATGTCGCCAACTACCTGTTACCATATTCCAAAGATTAGCCATCTTTTTCAAAAAAAGTTTTGTAAATCATGAACCTGCACCAAATAAGTAAATTTTGCATTTTCATATGTAAAAAATTGGTAAATTATGCCAAATTTGTAAGTACATAATTTTATGACAAAATAAGTATCATAGATGCTAATATAAATGTGTGCAATTCTTTTATGCTTCATTTAATACATATGTTACCTTCTTGTTTTAGTGAGGTATTTGAGCTTGTTCATTTTGGCTCTACTCTTATATGTGCCCTAAGGTCACCAAATGCGGCGGTGTGTTCTGCGCTGGTTTTTGGTGCAATTGCGTGTTGTATGGCAACCCTTTTGACGTTGAATACTCTTTTGCTGAAGTGTTTTAATTGCTCATTGGTTCGTGTCATGCATGTTTTGAAATAGCCTATGTTGCAATGAAAGACGTGGCTGCAAGAGGGTCTGGGAGATTATTTTTAGTGGCTATGCATGCTAAAATTAAGGAAATGCTGATGCAGTGTATTAAAGAGTGGATTGAGCTTTGTACAACTATTTTTTCAGATGGCTGGAAATCTTACAAGGATTTAGGAAAAGAAGGTTTTGAACATTTATTTGAACCATAGTATGAATTTTCTGGATAGTGTGTCTGGCTGTCATATAAATACAGTCAAAAGTCGTTAATTCGGACACTCATAATCCGGAATGATCTATAATCCAGACCTCAAAGCTAAAAACTTTCTGTGCATGTGCCGCGTTGGCACAGGTGTTTTACGCGTGCACGTAAGACCTTGACTACTGCGCATATGCGTGTGCGCAAGTGCAGAATACGTTTTTGCCTGCGCGTTTAATGTATAACGGACGGTGTAAGCTAAAAATTATCTAATTATCTATTTTCAGTTAATGTTAATGATTGCGTTGTTCCTTAAATCTTCAAATTGGATCCCGCTTATTATTTTTTTTTTGCAGACTGTAAGAGCAATTTTATAAAAGTAAACTTGAACTTTCGATTATGTCAAATAGAATTTCCGATGCTGGAACTTCCAAAGGATCTACAAAACGAAAGTATGTTTCGATGTCCAACAAACAAAAAAAGTGAAAATTGCTGCAAAAAATGGCATAAAGACATGAAGAATGTGACAGAGAGGTTAGTGAAAAACGAAAAAATTTCGATTGACAATTTCGAATTGAAGTTAGTCGGTATTCTCAGCAAAGCAATTAACGGGACTTGAACAGCAGGACTTTGTAATTGAACAAGAAATTATGTCTGTTTATAGAATTAAAGAGAAAGTATTATCACATAAAATGAAGCAACTTAAACAACTTACATTGAAGGAAATGTTTAATAAAGTAAACAAATAAATATTAAGCTTTTTTTTTTTTTTTTTTTGTAAAATTTGATATTCTTTAGATCATAATTGTTCTTTATTTCATAAATTACGGTTTCATATTTTAAATTTTAGAATTTCTGCATGCCATCTTACGAGATTTCAACAGCAATATCACAAAATAATTTTAAAATCAGCATATCTTTAGAATTTCCGATACACAGTCTCGCGCGCTGGAAATAAAAATGTCTTTTTTTTTTCGTACAGTGTTGCCATTGCTCGCTTTGAAATCGTTGAGTTTGTTAATCAAAAATTCTTTAATGTCTGAAAAGTATGAAATAGATAATATAACAAATTCCGAATTCGGGCTTCAAGATGCCCATATTCGCTGGAGGATTACGTTATTCAAAATTGGATGGTTCTAGATACCGTTGTTTTATCACAGTGCGAGAAACATACATTTATGTAGATTCTTCAGTATTTAATCAGTCCGGGATATTGCGATATCGCCGAAGTCCCGACGAGTCCGGATTAACGACTTTTGACTGTACGATAGTGATTACGTGGTGCCATATTAAAGGCAGCATGAAATTGGTATTTCTTATGTTCGAAAAAGCATTCATTCATGGTAAGTGCATTTTATTTTGTTCTTGTTCTTATTTTGTAGAATGTTATGTTCATCGTTTTTTAGTGTGAATTTCTGTCGTTATTGTTGTTTTTTGAATTGTTTGAAATTTATTTTAGTTATTTTAGTTTATTTTGTTGATTAGTGCATAGTGCCTAGATTGTGCAATCCATAGATGTTTTTTAAAGTTGAAACAGAACACTGTGTACATGGTATCCTTTGAAATT